GGGAAAGAGAGGGAAACAACTGAGGCCTTAGTGTTTCTGAATACTATTTCCACTGAGCTTACAGTGTACAGATTTGCCAGTTTAGCTAATTTTTGTATCCTGCAGCTCTGACTGTAAAAGGACAGTTTAACTCAGGAGGTCAGAACTTTCCAAAAATAGATGTTGTCCCTCAGACTTCAAGCATACCATTTGTGTGAAAATTGCTTTTGTTTTGTGAAAGTAGTAAAATGCAGTGATGTATTAACAGAACCTTTAGGAGCCATCCTGTTGCTAGATAGGACTGACTACCTGACTTAACAGAACTTCTGCAGTTTTAGAGTTGTTCAGGTTCTGCTGCATCCAGCCAAGATAACTAAAACTTGACTTCCTAGTCTTCCTTCTGTTCATAAAATGTGAACGATTAGAAGCACTCTCAAATCAAATTACCCTCCACTTGCTGTTCAGTATCACATTGTTTGAAGTTTATTTTGGAATATAATGCTGAATTGTTACAGCACTAAATAATGCAAGGCTAACAGTCTGTCACATTTAATAGGATCAGTCCATATTTAGTGCTGCTAAAGTAGTTCTGAAAAGGGGTTGGGCTACAGTTAAGATCTGTGGTTGGTGCTACAAAGTTCAGATGCTGTAGCTAATCTTGTAAAATGTGTATGAGAATTTATGGTAGAATAAAGGCTTCAGATCATGAGCTACAACTAAATTTAAACTAGAACTTCTCATACCACTGAGGAAGGTGGTATGGGAGAAAGTTAAACAAGTTACTTTTATGAATGTCTTTCTAGATCCATTTGCTTGTGGTAATGTTCAACTCATGGATGCTGTCTTTAGAATTAAGGGTTCATATATGCCAGAACTAGCATTTGGTGGAAGACTAGCTCATGCTTGAGATTTCATCTATGTTTCTACATTATTTTTGGTCACACATGTTTGTAAATTAATACCTTGCATAGACTTTAATTAATTTGCCCTCTAGCATCTGTGAGGTAGGCAGTCTTATCCGCTGTTATATAGATATAAAGCTGAACCAGGAAGTATAGGGAGAGCTGGGAAACTAATCCAGAATCAGCCCAAGTTAATGCTGTAAACAAGACTTCTTTCCTTCACCATAATCTTACTTAAACTGTTCAGTATCTGATACCAAAAGCTTCCAACAGTAGTATGGATGCTATTACAGTATTAACTTCAAAACACCATCCCTTTTATCAAGGCTTGAGTGCCTTTATTTTTAAGGAGGATAGATTTGTGCATAGGTTTACCTCTGTACAAATTGCAATGTTGAGGAAAGGAACCTGGTTTCATTAACAGCATAGGTGGTCCTTACAATTGCAGCATGGGCATATCCTACATTTTATTTGCAACCATAGGGAATGCTCATTTGTCAAGGGGTACCCAAATGCATTAATAACTGGGGTCAGCATTTCATATTTATTGTTCATAGACTGTAGAGAAACTTTCAGAATTATGCATTTCTGAATATTTACGTTTGTATAAATTATTACTGTTGTGTCCCCATGGGAATGAAACAAACTTACCCCGTACTAACTATGTAGAGAGCATCCATGTCATTTTGATTCCACAGTTCCACGAAAAGCATTGTATCCTGCTGCTGAATTAATCTCAGAGAAGCGTGTTTTAGTTATGCATCCTGGTCAACAGCAACTAGGGAAAAGAAAACTACAATTTGAATTGAACCCGGTGGATATAGCTAAACTGGAACATTTAAATCAACAGCCCAGTTTCTCTAAAGTTTCTCTTCATGTTACTTTCAAGTTCAGAAGTTATCAGTGCATTATATACAGCTGTTTTAAAAAATGTTATTACTGTATAAATAGTTGGTGTTTTGTTTGCTTTCAGGGATGCCCTTGATGCCCTGGGCTTAAAGAGATACTGCTGCCGCAGAATGCTGCTGGCCCATGTGGATCTAATCGAGAAGCTCTTGAATTATGCCCCTCTGGAGAAATGAGCAGCAAGTAGTAGTTGGACCCAAAATGGACCAGAGCTTCACCAGCAAGCCTGAAATGGGACTATGGGGGTTAAAGATATACAAGCCACCTGTATACCAGCCAGGGAGGGATTTCACTTTCTGGCCACGGTTCTGCCCCAGTCACTAACCTCTTCCAAGGAAACCAGTGAAAGATGAAATCCCATTAGTCAAGAACTGGAGTTTAATTAAAGTCTGAATGGCAGTTGTTTACAGTAATCCCAGAGGGTCAAGCAGGCAGCTTCTAGAAGTTGTTTTCTGTACTTTTAATACTTTTCCTGGCAATAAGCTTCTGAATAAATTTTGTTATAAAAAATAATCAGCCTGCATTAACTTATTCCAGGACTTTAGGAGGAGGAAGAGGGGGATGATATCTACATAATCCTATTTCAGTTGAGAGACAGGGCTACGTTCACACCAAGTTACTTGTATTTCTCTTTTCCCGTTGCTTAGGAGAAAAAGAAGTTATGCATCAATATTAGTTTGGGGAGAATCTAAACTTACGGACTTGATCCTTCAGCATGCTGAGCCCTCTGTGCCTCTCTAGCAAAACAAGCAAAAGTAATGGAAATCAATGGGATTATTATTAGCATGCTTAGTATTGCTAACATACCTAATTGTTCTGCTAGGTCAGGGCCAAAATGCATGGCAACTTTTAGGATGGAAAGACTGAGCAGTGATCAGGACTTCCTACCACAAGACCAGAAGATTCTTGAGTCCATAACTAGCAGATAATATCAAAAGGAGCTTGGATTGATTCCTGGAACCAAAGGACTCTTCATACTGTATTCTTTGCCACATCTGGTACCTGTATCCACTACTGACTGGAAACCTAACAGTTCTTTGCGCACCAACCATGCCTTAGAACTAAGAGTTAGAGGGCCAGCAGGTCCTACCTTGAATACAACTTCATTCTGTATGTAAATATAGGTCCAAAAGAAATAAAATACCACACAGCTCCCCTCCCTCCCCCCACCCACAGCCCAGCAAGCTCCTAGAAAACAAACTGGGAATGAGGAGAATCCGTCAATTTAAAATCCCATTTTTCCTTGGCAAAATTCACTTGGCACTTGCATTTCAGCTGTCAGGATAAGGCACAGTTTGAGAGATTCTTCTCCCACATTCAAAACTGCAAAGAATTTGAGTTAAATAAAATCTTGTTTTCAGATTTATGTTGTTTGATAAGTAGGGCTGTTACTGGGCCCAAGTTCCTCTCTACATTTTTGCTGATATCCCTTTAAATTCTTTAAAGATACAGAAAACATGCTAAGCCTCTAGTTAGAACTATCAGTCACACAGATCTATACATGTTAAGCATCCTTTTCACTTTATTACCCAGACACAGTAGATAAGTTTTCCCATATTCAGCAGTTTATTTAAAACTGCTCTGTTGTATTTCAAACTACATGCTTTTCCTAATACAAAGGGCATTAAGTGATTAATTCTATCATTTGTTTCACAGTTGGTTGAATAGCTTAAGTTCTGCATGCCTGCCATGTTATCTGGGCAAATGCATGAAAAACACTTATTTGGGCTATGGTTTTAAAGGAATACTGTCAAGTACATAAAGTACCTTGTCAAAGGTGGACTCTGCCCATAAAGAAGAATCATGCATCAGTGTTTAAAGGGGTTGACTGTATGAGTCACTAAAGTTTTACTTCTGGTTTCTAACTCCTATTATGAAGTGAACCATTTTAAATACTTCTTACCCACATGCACTCCCACCTTGGAATAACTGAGATCTGTTCTGAAAGGAAATATATTTAAACACATGGTTGTTTACAGGTTGCTTGGTAAAAGCTAATACAGCTTCTGTAACTAACAATGGAAGAAGTGATTTTTTTTCTTATGGCTATAGAACTATTTCAAAAGGCTGGAAGGAAGAAGGGTTGGTGGGTTACCAGACATGCTTCTCTAGCTCTACTGTGGTATTAGATCTTTTGAATGTTCTGCCTCAAGGCTCCAAAGATGAGTATCATCCTGTCGGATGGTTATTCTGTAGGAAACACTGGTAGAAATGGTAAGTCACGTGATCAGACATCGAAAAGATCATGCCATATCAGTCAATTGATCCATATCAGTCTTCTGGCCTCTCTGTAGCATTCTAGATACAAATATCTTGAGATCAGATGATGAAGAGTACCCTTGAGACAATGACCTCACTTGATGCACTAGAACAGGCTTGCACTTTCTTTAGCACTCATACTCAAGTAACGGGAAGGTACAGAAAAGGGGGACACAAATGGATTATGGGGGAAGAGAGCAGATAGGTATTTAAGCACACAATTAGCATGTTAACTCCATCTCAGGCCTATACTTTGTATACTTTGGGATTAAGGTTGAGGAAGGATACAATTGTGCCAGTTATCTAGAAGTCTGGATTCTCATAGCATGGGGCTAATCCCATAATCTGATCTCACGGAGTATTTAAGAAATACGGCTAGATCCATAAGCATCGGAAAAAATAGAGATCTCCAGCTTTTGAGCTGCAGATTGTGTATTAAGAGCAGTACAAAAAACTATCTAAGAAGGTCCTGTAATAGGTTTTCAACCACTCGGAGAGATGAGTAGCATATATTCTATTTTGTTAGTAGCCTTTTCCTCTGAAGGAAAGCTTTTGTGAGGAAAGTTAAGGCCTGCATTGTACCCAGACAAAAGGTACAGTAGAAGCTAAACACCTGAGGACAGAAAGACAACAACATAAGGCAGCAGCAGATTGTAAGACTATGCCATAGGGTAGTTGGGGATGGAGCTTCAGCTAACAGAAATTGGCCCACGTCCACAAACTGTAAGGAAGCTATGTCAATGTACAGCAAGAGAGGAAGCCTCAAGACTAAAAAGAAAATTAGGTATGTAGAGGACTGAAGCCTGTGGAAAAGCACAGACCACACGTGCCTAGGAGTTCTGACACAGAACGTCGGCTAACCTTCTGAATCGCTAATACAACTGTTCTGGCAAGAAGAAAAAAAATCGTTCTGGATGTTTTGTATATGCAATAGGTTTCTAAACCAGCTTTGGTTCATTTTGTTAAAGCAATAGAATCAATTTTATGCATTTGAAGGCATGCTTCTTATTTCTAAAAATATAAAAGAGGCCATTTTAAAAAGCCAAGCAGAACACACCCCTATGACTTCTGTACTGCTGTATAAACTAATCTCAATGTAAGCCATATGGACAAAGCAATACTTCAGTTTAGAAAGCACAGATTTTAATAAGTACAGTGTTGTCTCCTATTTTAAAAAAGGTGCTTCTTAGAAAAGCTTTCTTCCAATACGGTTTTAAATCCACTGCTGGGTGCAGGATAGAAATTTCTGCTTCTGGGCTGGTAGATGCCACCCTTTGGATTTCATTAGGTTGCATTCATTCAACAGTGAAGCATTTGGCTCTGGTCAGATAACTGATTGCAAAGCATTGCAGATGTGTGCAAAAGCTATGATCATTGATGGTGTTCCACACAGGCAGATCCACAATGTGGTGCTCTTTGTAGAATCAGCCTTAGCAGACAGCTTTGTGTTTACAAGACCTTCAATATCCTGCACATCATCATTATTGTATATAGTATTTATATTGGGCTGTTGCATACTGTCATTACCCAGAGGCAAAATAAAGTGTTGAGCACTTGGGGGTCTTGTAGAAAGTATTTTGAGCAGAAAGGAATCATGTCACTTTGTCATAAGGAGCTTCCACTTACTTTAATTGCAGTCATGCATCATATAATCTGTTTGTCTTTCTCCCAGGAGTCTGACAACACAAAACAAGCATGAAGCAAGATTTTTTAAAAATGCTTAAGCAAATAATCCTTCTGAATATTAGTTACTGCCATTAAAAAATCTCTGGAAGAAGGCTGGGCCCCGACAATGAGAAAAAGACCAGAAACCTTGACCCTGGGGAAGTCAATAAGAACCTTCCATGGAACCCAGCAATGCCAAGATCTCTCTCACCACACACACTTATAACCATGAATGTGGTTTTCTTGCTATAGTCATCACTCAGCTGTTGCTTAAGCAAGATGCTACACACAGACATCAGCATATTACTTACACTTTCTGGGCCATTAAATCTATTTGAGAAGAGCCAGAATGATGCTCAGAAGAACAGCTGAAATATGTACCTTTAAAGCTAAACTTAAAAAAAAGGCCATCAACCTTTTTCAGCCCAGAATCCTAAAAGCAAAAAAAAAAAAAAAAAGCTTTTCACCTCAGCTTAACCAACTGAAAGGTACATAACGTAGAAAAAGAAAGAGAAGGAGAGAGGAATCAGTGGACTGTGTCTGCAGCCCTAAATTAAATGCAGAAATCTGTCAGCAGGAGGACTCATCAAGAACATAAAGATTTCACCAGGTAAAGTCACCTACCTGCCTGTTTTCAAGTGAACTTTGGTAGTAGGTGGTGGAAGGATGCACATGAGACACTACTAACCTCAAACTAGAATCAAAATTAAAAAGAAACATTCAGCAGTAACTTAAGTTTCCTTTAGGCACTGTGGATCCTTGATTAGTATCTTTTTTGCCATCATCACAGAGGGAAAAATCTTTGCACATTGTTCAGGGCAGGGACAGTGTCATCCTAGGTATTTGTACACAAACTAGCACTATGGCTCTCTCCTTTGAGTAAGGCATCAAAGGTTATTGTCCAAAGGTTGAGGGAGAGGAGCAGAGAGAAATCATGAGAGCAAGCATGTGTGCATGCGCGCGCACACGTGTACTTTATTTTGAAAAGAGGGGAGGTTAAAGAGGAGTCTTGATTTCAGTACTTAGCCCATCTGCAGCTAATCAAAATACTTGTAGTATACATCTGCACTACATCTGGAACCTCAGCCCTTCAAATGCAGTTCTACTCTGCAAAACAGGACTGGTAAACATTGTATTGAAAGGGTCTACATATGATGTCAGCAACTCCAGGTATGCTTAGTTTACGTGATTTTTTCCCCAGTTAACAATCCTGCAAATGCAGCCTGGGAGTTGATAGTCAAGTTGGCTTCTTTCCCTTCTTATGCCTCATCACGATAAACTCAAGAAACCCTTCCCAAAAACAAAAGAACACCCTGCAGACAGATTATAACCTCTGTTGCAGCTGTATGCCTCTGTTGATAAGGTACCCATAGGAAAAGAATCCAGATCACCTTCTTAGTTTCAATAACAACAAAATGTTTTCTTTTGCCTCGGTAATGCCAGTAGATTTTACTGCAGTTCAAGCTCAGAGTGTTAATCCAATGAGTAAGAAAATTTCATTTCCCCAAAGTCCTTTTTCAGAGTAGGATTCATAGATGCTAGGGTCGGAAGGGACCTCAATAGATCATCGAGTCCTACCCCCTGCATAG